GTGCACTGCTGAGGACCCCTCCGTGCATGTGTGTGTGCTGTGACAGGAACATCAGGACCAGAGAGCAAGAGGCAGGAGGGCTGGAAGAGGCCCCCCAGGGCTGGAGAAGGGAGGAGCAGGGAGGGCACACACAGGGCACACGAGGCAGGGGACCCGCCAGCCCCCAGGGGAGTGACCAGTCTGCACCTTTCCTCTGCAGGTGGCAAAGGAGAAGGGACGTGTGTGGCTGGCAGGGCACAGAGTGACACCAAGTACAGGAAAGTGTTCGGACACAGGCAGCTGCCAAGGCCTGGCTTAGGGTCAGGGAAGCAGTGAGGTGCCAGGCCTCTAGAGCAGGCATTCTAGGTCCCTGGTGTTGGCCCTTCCCACCCTGAGAGGGAGGGTGAGACTCTGAGTCTCGTCCTGCCTGACAAGGAAGCTTCCAGAAGGTCAGCAAAAGCCAGGGGAGGTGGTGCCTGCCTATAGTCCCAGCACTCAGGAAGCTGAAGCAGGAGGATCTCTGAGAGTTCAAGGCCAAACTGGGTTACATAGTGAGACCCTGTCTCACAAAAAAAAAAAAAAAAAAAAGGACAGTGAGAGTGGAGGGCGCCCTGTTTCCTGGAGGGCTGAACTTGTCCACTTCCAGGGAGAAGCCGCAGGTCAAGCTGGGGCTTGTTCGGGCCTGTCCCGAACCAGAGAGGCAGCTCCTCCCCACCTCTCCTTCCTCTTGAAGCTGACAGGGAAGTGCCCCGAATTCCCCCACCCGGGCTTCCTCTCTGCCATTCACCGTTACCGTTCAGCACCACAGTGGGCCCTGGGCCTCTCCTGTCTCCCCCACTGCCACCAGACAGCAGGATAATAGGGGCCCTGGGGACAGAAAGGACACTGCCAGGCTCGGGCACCGCTGGGTCGAGATGAGGGCAGAAGGGCTGGGGGAAATTTCAGGGCCCGCAGACCCAGGATTCCGGAGAGGGACCCAGGATCTGCCCTCAACATGCAGGGGGCAGCGATATGGGGGCTACTGAACCAAAGAGGAAAGAAAACCCAGTGCTGGGTCCTCTTGGGCGACAGCAGAACCCCATGGACGGGAGGTCCTGTGGGGACAGCTCAGTGAGCCCCGGAGCCTGGGCTGCAGGTCACGGTCGCTGGCTACTGCTGTCCCCTTTTCTCCATGTTGGACACCCCCAAATCGGCCCGGGGAGGTGGGGGTCTGTGAGGCCTGTGTAGCCCCCTGCAGGGCTCTGGGCCATCTCCGGGCCCCACAGTCAACGTTTTCCGAAGCCAAACCCGTGGGGGAAGCCCGGTGGCACATTTCACCGTGGGCAGACTGAGTGCTGCAGAGCGGGGCTGAACCGCAGCCGTGACCCTGAACTTCTTGGCCCAGCTGGGGTGGCCTGCAGCAGCCGCTGTGGGGGACGGTGACCTTACAGTCCTCGCCTCACGAGAAGGTGGCCTCCACCAGCAGGGCCCCGAGCGTCAGCCAGACTGGGAGCCCCGGATGTAGCGTGGGAAACTTGAGCAAAAATCTCGTCTAAATGACCAAGGTCACTGCTTTAGTTATAGCCCTGGTTGCTAACAGCGACACCTGACCAAAGAATCATTAAAAAAAAAAAAAAAAAAAGCAGGGAGTTTTTGGCTCCAGGAAACAAAACAGGGCAGAGCTGGTGGAAACAATGGCAAGGGAGACCCCACAGGGACCAGGATCGCGGTTGCGCGGTCACTGCCTGCTTCCTCCAGAGCTGGAGTCTTGGCCACCTGCAGCTGGACACATCAGACCCCATGGACCCACAGTGTCGGTGTCCCCTGCCCCTCCCCACCTCTGCAGCAGCACGGTTCCTCGGCAGCTGCTGGAAGCCCCTTGCCATCCCCTCCCTGCCCGCTCAGTTCCCGGCTGAGTGAGTCCTCGCTCCTCCAAGCCACTGTGTGCAGAGAGGCCGCTCCCTCCATTCTTCCCCTCTCCCAGCCACCAGAAGAACAAACAGGCGGTCACCAGGACCCTGGTGTCACCGGGCTGCCCAGCGGGGTCGCCTGCTCGGCATGGTTCCCTCATGGGCCCAGCCTCCCTGCAGCAGGTACGAATGGGGTCAGAGTTCTTCTCCCCTCCTCTGCTTGTCTGTTGGATTTGCCCACCTGGCCACCACTGCGTCACCTTACTACAGAGGGTCCTGGGGTCCCCAAGGTGCTGGTTGATGCCTGAGGACTCATGTCCTGGACACACACCGTTTGCCACACGGCCCCAGGTGGGAAGGGACCCCACGCAGGCTGCAGGGTGCTGCCTGACGCCAGCCCCTACCTGGCGTCCTGGCCCAGGACAAGGCCTCTGCACCACTACTATTTGGCCAGGGAGGGTGCTGGGGCCACTCCTTGAGCCTGGGCAACTTTGGCCTCTGCTCTTCTTCCTGCGGCTCGCCCCCCCCCCTTTAAATCAAAGTCGCTTATTAGCTTTTTAAATAGAAACATGGGAATAAAGCCAGATGTGGTGGCCCATGCCTGTGGTCCCAGTACTTAGGAGGCTGAAGCAGGAGTATTGCTACCAGTTTGAGGCCAACCTCGGCTGCATAGTGAGTTCAAGGTCAGCCTGAACCTAATATGAGGCCCTGTCTCAAAAAAACAAAAAACAGGGCGGGGGATTTAGCTCAGTGGTTCCACTGCCTGCCTTGCAAGTGCAAGGACTCAAGTTTGATCCCTGGTGCCAAAACAAAACAACACAAAAACCCAAAACAACAACAACAACAACAAAGAAACATGGGAATGAAAAACCACTTTAAGTGGCAGCATTTTTTTTTTTCCAAAAAAACACTACAGGTAATACTCAAATCTCCAAGCTTGAAACTCCATAAACAATTTTGTTTTGAGATAGTAGATTGTAATATTCCATATACCATTACTTACTATTTATGTCTCAAGGTTGTGTGAGACACTCACTGCTACACTGTGAGGAAGTATTCCTAGCCCAGAAGGGCTCTGTTACAGGGAAGAATCCTAGGATTACTATTTGAGAAGGTGAGAAATAGATTTGATATGGCAAGAATACAAATCTTTTCTAATAATTCAAATTTAGGTGATACTGTTGTACACCTTCTAAAATTACTTCATCTCTGCCATGTAATAAAGCCTATAGTAATGTTCCTAAGGTTCATTAAATTCTGTTTTAAAGAGGACTTTCAGCTGTAGTGGCACACACCTGTAATCTCAGCACTCAGAAGCCTGAGGCAGGAGGATCACTGTGAGTTCAAGACCAGCCTGTGCTACATAGTGAGACCCTGTCTCAAAAACCCAAAAAAGGGCTGGGGATTTAGGTCAGTGGTTCTGCTGCCTGCCTTGAAAGCGCAAGGACCCAAGTTTGATCACTGGTACCAAAAAAAAAAACCCCAAAAAACAAACAAACAAATAAATAATAAATTAATAAATAAATTAAAAAGAGTACTTGAAATGGAGAAACTACAGAAGCAGACTTTAAAAGAAACTTTCATATCACTTGCTGTATTGGGGTCCAATTCCTTTTTGTTACATGTGAATAAACACTGCTTTTGGGCAGTATTTTTTTTTTTTTTGTATCAGGGATTGAACTCGGGTCCTTATGCTTGTGTGGCAGGCAGCGACACCACTGAGCTAAATCCCTGGCCAACACTGCTTTTAATAATCTTCCTTCACCAAATCTAGAGAAAAGAAATTTAGGTGATAAAAGCAGATAGTGCAGATAGTGCACAGCCCTCAAAGAACTATTTTAAAACAGGAAATTCTTTGGGAATATAAAGCATCCCAGAAATCTCAATGCAATATTAAGCTTTGATACCAGTACAAATACAGAAGCCACAACATTATAAAACCTCACCTGAAAGCTTTAGTTTTGTAGCTATGGAGCACCAAGGCCTTAATCTTAATTTTTGTTTCAGTCCTTCCTTCTATTCCTTTTTTTTTTTTTTGAGACAGAGTCTCGATACGTAGCCCAGGCTGGCCTGGAACTCACAGCAATCCTCCTGTCTCTGCCTCCCAAGTGCTAGGATTACAGGTGTGTGCCACACCATGCCTTGCTCTTCTATTCCCTTTAAGAGAGACTAGAAAAAAATCAGGAATAAAAGCTCAAGGGCTGGGGATTTAGCTCAGTGGTTCCAGCACCTGCCTTGAAAGTGCAAGGTCCCAAGTTTGATCCCAAGTACAAAAAAACCCCCCCAAAACAAAAAATAAAATAAAAACTCAATATTCCAAACATAATCAGAACTTTCAAATGATGTTCTGTCAAAGTCGGCAGCCTCTCTACTTGCTTCGGTACCCTAGAGGTACAAGCCCCATAGTCTAAGGCTAGAAACTATACAGAAACTTCCGGGACTCCCTGCGTTTCACAACCTGCTAGTTACCAGTGCACTGCCATTTTGGTTCACATTATGAACGAAGCCTCTTGCAGGTTGTTTAGCAGGAGAAAAATGATCAGGAAGCAGGAAGCAGCATTAATAGCTCACAAGATGCAGCATGGAGCCCACAGAAGTGGGCATCAGTGACCGATGGGCCTGGGCCCTGCCCGGCTCCTCTCCTGGAGATGCTGCCGCTGGGTCAGGCCAGGTGTGGGCACTGCCCAGGGACCTGTGAGTCCAAGGGCCCCAGGCCCAGAACCAGAGCCCAGGGCAGAGTCCAAAGCCTGCATTCCTGGCAAGGGTGACTCACCCCGCTGCTCTGCAGCCCAGATCTGGGCATGCCCTGGCCCGGCAGGTGTGCTGCTGGGAGGCTCCTGGGGACTCCGAAGTGTGAGCACAGGCGGCATGCCAGGGAACACCCAAGTCCCGGAGGAGACTTCATCCTCGCTGCGCCAGGAGGAGGCTCAGGCTGGCTTTCGCAGGTGTAGCCCTCAAGCCAGCTGCTGCCAGGCACGTGGAGAGGGAAGCAGGCGGAGGCTGTGCCAGGCCACCGCTCACACCACTTTTGGCTCTGCTGTTCTTTCTTTTTTTTTTGAGACAGGGTCTTGCTACGTAGTCCAGGCTGGCCTTTGAACTTGAGGTGATCCTCCTGCCTCAGCCTCCCGAGTGCTGGGATTATAGGCATGCGCCACTACACCCAGAAAATTTTGCTGCCCTGCTCTGATCTCTATTCTACGCGGCCCCACCGCCAGCAGCGTGCCGGTAAACAGCATCGGCCGCCTTCTGGGAAGAAGGCTGTCGCCCGTGTCACTTGCCCTTCCGCATGCTGTACATGCCCTGCCGCAGCCAGTCTCTGGCCACCAGAGCGACGCCCCTCAACAAACTGGGAGAGAGACAGGAAGACTAGAGGTGCAAGAGATAAAGCATAATAGCCAAAGGCAGCTTCCAGGGCAGGCAATAGTGAAGGAAATGAAGGGATTAGGGGCCGGCGCTCCAGAAGGAATGGCCACCATGGAGAAATCAACAAACGGGCTAGGGATGTAGCTCAGTGGTGCCCCCACCTGCAAGGTCCTGAGTTCGATCCCTAGTACCAAAAAACCCCCCAAAACAAAAAACAAAACAAGGGTAAAAGAATAATTAGGAGATGAGCTTTCAGTATTTATCACCCATTTGTTTTAATAGAACTTATTGAATTGTATGTTTATAGATTAGGTTTTGGTAATGGCTATATTTAAAATAAGCTCACAGAACTTCTGACAATTTAGTGATCATTTTCCCCCCCCCCGATCCTGGGGATTGATTCCAGAGCCTTTGCACTAAGCTACATCCCCAGACCCTTCTATTATTTTTTATTTTGAGGCAGGGTCTCCCTAAGTTGCTAGGTTGCCCAGGCTGGGCTTGAACTGGCCATCCTCCTGGCTCAGCCTCCCAAGAGCTGAGATGGCAGGCATGCCAGCATAGCTCACAGGGGCCGGCATCAGCACACTGCTGCCTCCTGCCTGGGTGACACAGGGGCTCTGGGGCCCCTTGCTCTCCGTACCCCTCAGGGTCCAGCTCCGGGGCTTGCTGCAGCCTCCACCCCACAGCTCAGGTGCCAGCTCCTGCCCTGGCCCGCTCTGCCAGGTGTCCGCTGGCCAAGGCCCTGCCCCTTACACCCTGAGCTGTCTGGGGACAGTGTCTCTAGGCCCCTGCTCTGGGAACCCTCACCTGCAGTCCCCCCAGGCCCTGACCCCATGTGGAGTGACCAGATAGGTCTCTCCAGGCCCGGCTTTTCCTGATCCTGCAAGATTCCCCTGGAATCTGCCTGTCCTTCCTTGGAGCCCTGAGCTCTGGCCTGGACCGCGGTTGTCCCCAGAGGCCAGGATTCTCACTGGAAGATGGGCAGCAGCTTGAGGCTGGGGGACTGAGTCTCCACATCCCAACACAGCAGCCCCCCAGGAATAAGAGGCCCCACTGCAGTGAGGTGAGCGTGGAGCAGTGGCAGGAACAGCCCCACCATGGCCTTCTGTGCAGACTCTGGCCTCAGCCTGGGGGCAGGACAGTGCATGTGATGCCGATGGAGGCTTGGACAGCCTTGGGCTTGGTCTTCCTGTGGTAGGATCCCTGGGGCCACTGTGTGGACAAGCTCCAGCTGGCCTGCTGCAGGACGAGACCTCCCTGGAGAAAAAGCACTCGGGTGACAACCGATGCCACACACGGTGAGGCCCCTGGGTGCACTCTGGCCACCGATGCACACCCAGTCACCAAGCCCCATCCCCTCTGCTGACCCACTGCATTAGTCACTTTCCCATCACTGGGACAGAATACCTGACACTCAAAACGTAAAGGAGAGGTTTATTTTGTGGGGGTTTTTTTTGGTACCGGAGATCGAACTCGGGACCCTGTGCTTGCAAGGCTGGCAGCAGCACCACTGAGCTAAATCCCTGGCCCTGTTTGTGGTCTTAATGGGGAGTAGGAAACAGCATTAATTAAACTGGGCAACTTTCTAAGGCCTTTAAAAACGTGTGCAGAGGTGCAGGGCTGCTTTGAACATACTGAACACAGCATATTCATTACCAGAGTCTGAGAGCAGAGGAAAATGCTCAGTGTGGTGTGGAGGCAGGTGGCCCGAACGAGGCTCCCTTCCTTGCATCCTGGTCCCCAGCAGCTTCCCTGTGAGGACAGCTGGCTCCCACGAGTCCACCCTTGTTGCTGGTCCCGGGAGGGGCTGGTGGTCTGGCCTCAAGCTGTCTGCTCCAGGTGCCTGTGAAGGCCGAGGACTCCAAATGCACAGCCTGCTGTTCCTGACCAGAAGGTCCCCGAGGCCAGGGCCGCCTCTCTCCTTCCAGGGTGTGGCAGCCGACAGCCCCAGGGAGGCAGTCCTGCCCCTGTGCCTGGCTGGAGTGCCACACGCCGTCTTGCAGACACCTGTCTCTTCACGTCTGCCACCTGCGGCTGCTGGCTGGTCCTTGGGCCACGTGACGGTGACACCCAGGATGGCAGCCCCTCTCACTCCCGGCAGGACTGGCCGTCTAGGAAGAGGCAGAGGAGATGCCAGTGCTGGGCGGGCTTCACAGAGCCCCTCTGTCCCAGACAATCCCTCCTTTCAGCTGCTCAGTGTGACGGAGGGACGGATGCAGAGGGCTTCCCTGAGGGTCACGCAGGCCGGATGGCCTTCATCTCGGCCAGTGCTGCCCGGGCCCGGGAGGAAGCGGCCTGACTGCAGCCGGGCTTCACCGTGTGGTTTCCGGGGAAACAGGGCCGGGGTGGCTTTGCCAAGGCCGCTTCCCCGCATCTGCAGCCTGGCGGGTCCCCAACTGGCCAGATACCCAGGGCCCTGCAGAGGGAGTGGGGCTGGGTGGGCAGGGACATCGCAGGAGTGTGGACGTCCTGCGTGGGCATGTTGTGTGCTGCCTGACACTGTCCCCCCACCTCGGCTTTCATTTTATTTATTTTTTGGTTTTTTGTGCTAAGGTCTCGCTGTGCAGTCTAAGCTGGCCTTGAACCCATGGCATTGTCCTGCCTCAGCCTCCCGAGTGCTGAGAGTACAGGTGTGTGGAGGGGCAGTGTGGGACCCTTGCACCCACCCTCACCTTCCTTCTGGGAGGCCCCTGCTTCTGTCTGACTCGGTGACCAAGTGGCCACAGGGACAGGGGCTGGGCAGCCCTGGGCTTCAGGGCGAGCTTAGAGCAGCAGGGAGAGGGGAGGAGGGAGGGGGCTCTTCCCTGAGGGTCCTGCCTGGGGGGAGGGTCTTACCTCACCAGCAGTGAGGTGCCAGAGGCCAAGAGCGATTTCACAAGCAGGGAAGATTAACAAAGGAGAGGTCCCTGGGGCAAGGCAGCCACCCACTTGGTGGGCTCACACAGTGCATTCAGGAGGCTGAGGCAGGAGGATCACTGTGAGTTCAAGGCCAGGATGGGCTGTATAGTGAGACTTGTTTTAGAGCACCAATAAATAAATAATAAACTTAAATAAATAAAGAGGTTGCCCTGGTCTAAAGGTCAGAATAAAACGCCCGACTTACTCTGCAGGCCCCTGGTGGAGGACGAGGTGGAGCCGGGGCGGCTGGGCTGCTGAGGGCCACAGGAGGAGAACTGGACACCGGCACTGATGCCTTCACCTTGGGGGGGTTTGGCTCCAGGGTCCCCAGAGTGCACGGCGTCCGGGGCTTGCAGGCGAAGGCCAAGGGAAATAGTCTACGAAACACGTGCAGTACAGAGTCACCATGGCTGGGCAGGTGGCACAGGGCACTCGCAGGGAGGGAGCCAGCCCTGCAGAGCTCACAATCTCAGGGGGAGCAAAGGGGACAGCACCTGGAGGTGCACTAACTTTGATTTGATTTGATCTGGTTTTTCTTTTTTTGGTACCGGGGATCGAACTCAGGACCTTCCACTTGCGAGCCAGGAGGTAGAACCACTGAGCTAAATCTCTGGCCCTTGACTTGATCTATTTTAAGATAAGGTCTCACTGTGTAACCCAGGCTGGCCTCAAACTCATGGCCATCCTTCTGCCTCAGCCTCCTGAGTGCTGGAATCTCAGGGATGTACCATTCAGATAGCACGGGCAGGACGGTGCACCCAGCAGAGTCAAGGTCCCAAGGACAGGTCCCAATCTCTGGAAACTGACTGGGAGGCTTAAGGTTGCAGATGGACCTTTGGGTCCTGAGGCCTCGCCTCTCAGGAGCAATGCTACATAATTTTAGGGAACAATCATTTAGTTAAGCCTAGCTCTCCTGCCTACAGGCCAGCTACGGCATTTCGAGACATAATTCCATTCTCGCTCCCGGTCACAACTGAGGCCACAATGACCTGGTGATGCTGTGATTCTCCAGGACAAGATTACACCAGTTGAAGACATCCTGGGAGGAACAAAATCTTCATCGCCTCAGTTCCTCATTGTTCTTGGATTGTTACACCTTGTTTGTCCCGATGTACTGAACTCTCAGCAAGTCATTTGTTACATCTGTTTCTCCAGATGTACTGAATAAAAGGTGCCCGAGGGGAGGGTGCAGCTTTCCTCTTTGCTGCCCAGAGCAGCACTGATCAGGCCCAAAGCTCAGCTTCTTCTCCAAGTCTCATTTTTCTATCGTTCCTGTATATTCTTTTTTTTTTGGTACCAAGGACCGGAGATTGAACTCGGGTCCTTGCGCTTTCAAGACAGGCGGTATAACCACTGAGCTAAATCCCCGGCCCCTATCTTTCCTGTATAATAAAAGTCAATTCGCCTTGTGCTGTCGTGGCTCGCAGGGGACTAGGACTCACCGCAGAGGTTCTAGTAAAGTCCCCTTTCCCTGTTCCCTACACTCGCTGAGCTGAGTCTTGGGTGGCAGTGAGACAGGAGGCTCCTGAGCCCTCAAACAGGGCAGGGGGTCACAGGCTGAGGGGACAAAGGGGCCTGGGCCAACTGAACATCCCTGGGCTTCTGCAGGCCCAATTCTCATGTCGGGTCAGTGCCAGCGCCAGGGCTTTCTGAGGACTTTGTCCCACAGGGCTTGGGATGTGGCCAGGGTCACCCTCAGGTGGCACTGGCCCCATGGGCACAGCGACGACCCAGAGGGTTAGGCAGGGCCCCAGTCTGGAGCCAGCTTGGCTTGAGTCCTGTCCCCACACCTGACTCTGGCCCCGGCCTGGAGCTGAGGGAGTTTCTGCCCTACGGAATGGTGACATCGTGCATTCGTGGTGTCCGGGCCTCAAATGCGTGGGAGTTCGTTTCAGCAGCAAAAGGAGCTATGAGATGCAGCAGCCACAGGAGGCCTCACCGAAGTAGCACTGAACTCTTGACCAAGCCTTCCAGGCAGGGTTAACCTCGTCCACCAGGTGTAGAAACTGAGGGGCCAAACTTAGAGCGTTAGCTGGATGGGCTGGCACATGCCTGCAATCCCAGCACTCGGGAGGCTGAGCCATGAGGATCGCTGGGAGTCTGAGACCAGCCTGGGCTACATAGTGAGTTCACTACCAGCCTGAACTTCATAGCGAGATGCTGTCTCAAAAACAACAGTTAGAAAAATCATACTGACACCGACTGAAAAGTCTCCAGGATCAAGTTAGGAAAAGGCATAAAAGGACCCTGCTTTAGGCAAGAAGCCTTTGAATCAAGTTCAAAAGGATGGAGAAGATTTGATTCTACTTTTTAATTGATTAATTAAAAATATTTTGAAAAAAAAATTTTTTTGGAGATAGGATCTGGCCATGAAGTTCAAGATGCCGCTGAACTCACTATGTAGCGCAGGCTGGCATCAAACTCACGGTGATCCTCCTGCCTCAGCCTCCTGAGTGCTGGGACTGCATGTGTGTGCCAGCATGATCAGCATAATTTATTTTTATACCATTCATAATATTATCCCCAAATATTTGCCATGCTGTATTCTTACGTTTGTGTGTTTTCACCTGCGCAGTTTCGGGTCCCCAACCGTCTGCAGTGCTTTGTCCCAGCCTCCTGAATCCCTAGGCTTGTCACTGTCATTTGGCCCGGCTGTGGGTGATGTCACCTGGCTGTGCACTCTCACTGTTACCCTATGTTCTGCTGTTCTTTATTCACTGATACAACACGCGAGTGCCGAGAAATGCACGCAGTGCTGGGATCCAAGGTCACCAAGAGCAAATTCTCGCTCTTTGGTCTTTCAGGGTGGGGCTCTATGACCAGTGAACAAGTTATAAAATAATGAGACAAGTGATCACTCCATGGACATTTCCTGCATCTACAAGAAACTTCCTGTAAGGTCAAGTGAGGTTATTCCTTTCTTTTTCTTTTTTTTTTTCTCCTTTCTTATATTACTCGGTTCAAAAAAATTTTTTTTGTATTTTTCTATTCTTTTTTTTTTCTTTGAGACAAGATCTTGGTATGCAATTCAGGCTGGCCTTGAACTCACTGTGTGGCCCAGGCTGGCCTCAAACTCTTGGCAATTCTCCTGCCTCAGCCTCCTAAGTGTGGGAATTACAGGCGTGTGTCACCAGGCCCACCTCCTTGAACAAAATTTTTAATGTAAGTGTTTTTTGAAACAAGACCTTGTTATGTGGTCTGGGTTGGCATTGAACTCACTACGTAGCCCACGGTGGCCTCGAACTCGCAGTGATCCTCCTGTCTCAGCCTCCTGGGTGATGGGATCACAGGTGTGTGCCACCATGCCTGGCCTCCCATCATACTTTGGACTCACCAAGGCTCTACCCTCACAGGAGCCAAATGCTTAAAAGTAATCTCCCTCCCTGTGTTTCTTGGGAGAAGCCCAAGTCACTGTTCAAACACGCGCTCCCCTCTGCCCTGGGCGGGATCCTGAGTCAGGGCAGAGGCCTCAGATGGCTCCCCATGGCTGGCCGCTCAGGGGGCTGAGGCAGGAGGGTCCAGGTGACAGGGAGTGGGGCCTCTGTTGCCAGGAAGGGCACAGTCAGGGGCACAAGGTGAGCTGGGTCAGGTGGGGAAGGGGCTGGCCTGGCAGGCAGTGTTAGAGCAACGATGCCAGCCAATTGCAGGGGCAGTGGGATGGGGCCGCTTCTGGGCCAGGTATCCACCTCAGGCCACGTGGCCCCGGCAGTGCTGGGCTCCGGAAAGAGGGTGACTCTGGGTGCTGTGTAAACTGGGAGGCGCCCTGAAGATAGTGGCTACTTATCTGCGGTGCAGGGCCAGCAGGATGGCAGCTCAATGGGGACATTGTCTCAGGAAGGGCAATAAAGTGCTCAGAGGGATTTCAGCCTCCCAGGGCCTTGGGGCGCGCGCGTGGCAGGCACAGCTGGGACACGAAGGGCCCGAAGGCCTCTGCTCCCTGAGCTGGGCACCAGCTGTCTCCTCCACCACACACCTCAGCTGGGCTGGGACGGCCCCAGCAAGCGGCAGAGAGGGGGTGTGACAGTGGCGAGAGAGAACACAGGGACGAAGGCAGGCACGCGACACCAGTCAGACCCAGGGGTTCTCTACCACAGAGCGGCACCCCAGCTCTGCAACAAAAATTCTTTTTGAGACAGGGTCTAAGTTGCCCAGGTAAGACTTGAACTTGTGGTCCTCCTGCCTCAGACTCCCTAAGTGCTGGGATTATAGGAGCTCACTAACAGGCCAACTAACTGAATTCGGGATTTTTCATAATCTTGTTCGTGAAACAGTTTCCTGGGGTGGGATTTCCCACTGCAGCTGCCGTTAGTGCTCAACAGTTTTCAGATCTTGGATTTCCTGAGTAGGATGTTCAACCTGTGCTTGCAAAAGATCCACTTCCTGTCTGTGGCAGGACGGGGGCTTTGACGTTGTGTGCTTCTTGTCCTGGCCCGGGACAGGGCTTGAGAGCACTACCTGAGGAGGCCACACCCTCCCCAGGCCACAGGAGGGTCACAGGGCGGCAGGAGTGACGGGGAGACCAAGTGGCAGGGCAGGGCCACCATTCAGCCGACCAAGTACCCAACCTGCAGTGCCCGGGGCCTTGTGGTGCCTGCCCAGACCTCTTCTGTTCCTTCCTGAGAGACACAGGGCACAGCAAGCCGTGGGGGGGGGCACTGGACACAGCACACAGCTGCTCTCTTTTCTTTTTTCTTTTTTTTTTTTTGTACCAGGGATCGAACTCAGTTCTTCCGATTGCAGGTGGTGAAACCACTGAGCTAAATCCCCGGCCTGGAAAGCTGAGATTTCGTTGAGATTGGTACCACCTGCTCCAGAGTCCAGACATGCACCGGATAGCCAGGGCATCTGGACCCACTCCTTCCCCAAATGATCCTGTTTTAAGTCTCAGATAAACTCAGGCATGCCCCTGCTACGAGCCCTGCTTCCCTGTTGGATCAATATTAGCTCAGCGGGTGTACTTGTAATCCTATTGGTTGATACTAGTTTGACCCACGTTGTACCCACACTGTGACTTCGCTGAATAAATTACCCCTGACAGAGGGCCTCGGTGGCCATCCGCTGGGGACTCCTCCTGTCTCTCTGGAGCTATTCCTAGTTCCCATTCCTAGTCCCCAATAAACCTTTCCTTCTCTTAACCACATTTGCCTTTGGAATTCATTCTTCAATTTCAGGGGACACGAACTCGGGACATTTGACATCTAGCAGGTTGGGAGTTATAGTTCTCCTATACCAGTGGCGCACCCCTGTGATCCAGCACTCGAGAGGGTGAGGCTGGAGGATCGCCATGAGTTTGAGGCCAGCCTGGGCTCCATAGTGAGTTCAAGGCCGCTTCCCCTGGGAATTTTGTCTCTGCATCCCAGGTGCCAGGGAAAGCGCCTTGGCTTCTGTGGGTGAAGGCCAGGTCCGAGGGGGTCCTGGAGTCCTGGGTGTAACAGTATCGCTGGGGGGGACCCCAGGCCTCGTGTCACCTGGACCCCTACCTGGTGGTCTCTCGGCTGCTTGGGTCCTGGGGCGCCTCCTTTGGCTGGCCAGGTGTCACCGTGGGTGGCAGGCATGGCCCTTCCAGGTGTCCTGTTGTGGCGTCCGTGCCTGCTGGGGGAGAGAGAGCTCAGGGTGCTGGCCGGGCACAGGGGACAGCTCCGGAGGCCGGGGGCGGCCCTGCCCAATGCCCGGCTCCTCTGTGGCTGGCAAAGATGACAGAGCTGCGATTGCCTCCCTGGCACAGCTCACACCTGGCCCACAGGTTACCCGGGTCCTGCATGTGACCGCGTCTCTCAGTGCCCTGCAGTGGCGAGTGGCCTGCGTGGGGAGCCCGAGGAGCCGCCCCAGGCTGCTTCTGTACTCCTCATCACACAGCCCCTCTGCAGCCGCCCTCCTCGTCCTGCCGCCCTGTGGGTCCCAGACTGCAGCAGCAGCGCGACTCAGGGTCAGGGCGCTGGCCCAGCCCACCACGCCCCCTCTGCCTGGCCTGGCAGCCCCGGCCCCTTTTCTGGGAGCCCAGATACAGCCTAGGAACCGGCACAACCAGCACCGGAGCCGCAGCCTGGCTGCCGCCTGCTCAGACCTGGGTTTGAGGGCAGCACCGGGGTGGCAGCAGGGACTCCCCCGCAGGTGGCGTTGTTCCATCCAAGTGGCGAGGCTCAGGGAAGCTGGGGCTGGGCCAGGCCGAGTGGGTGCAGGAAGGGTGGAGTGTACAACAGGGGGAGTGGAGAAAGCTGAACCTGGAGGTCCGACTTCTCCAAAAGAACTCTGCCTGGCGTGGTGGTGCAGGCCTGTAATCCCAACACTCGGGAGGCTGAGGCAGGAGGATCATGGTGAGTTTGAGGCCAGCCTGGGCTACACAGTGAGTTCAAGGCCAGCCTGAACTACAAAGCGAGACCCCATCTTAAAAAAACAAACTAAAACAAACCAAAACAAAATTAAAATAAAAAATTAAAAAAGGGCTGGTGATGTGGCTCAGTTCAAAGGCCTTGGATTCAATCCCAAGTACAATCAATCAATCAATCAATCAATCAATAAAAAAATAAAAGGAGACAGGGAGAACTTGGGTCCAAGGACAGGATTTTTAAGGACTCAGGGAGCTGGGCTGATGTAAGCAGGCCTGGCAGGGTGGGGTGGGGGAGTGAACCCCCAGCTGCAGTGGGAGGCAGAAGCAGGTCTGGGTGTGGAGTCCAGGGGCAGAAGGGAAAAGGCAGTGGGGAGCCTGGGGCCCAGCCCCGTGGTAGGCCAGGCGAGGGTGCAGGGAGGGGGCCCCCGGGCTGTGGGCCCAGCACTCCTGCAGGCTAATGGGGTGCACAGAAAGCAGGATTTGCCCACCTTGGGGCCTGGTGAGCAGCTGGGGCATCTCCCTGGGCACCGCCATGACCGGCATAGCAAGCACTCTGGCAGGTACCACGGTGTTCATGTGAGGAATCAGAATTTGTCAAGGCCCTGATCACATAAGGGGTGAAATCGACTGTTCTCGAAAACAACATTAATACTGGGACAACGGCCACCGCCGCCGCTCAGCAGTTTCTGTGCGTGGCAAGTTCAAGTGCCACCACCCTCCAGGAGACAAAACTCGTCTCTCTCCAAGGGACACAGTCCGGCCCAGGCGCAGCGCAGGCACGCTTGCCTGGCTCCACGCCCAGCAATGCACACATGCAGGCGCGCGCGCGTGCACACACACACACGCACGCACGCACACACACATGAGATGGTCATTTTTACAATCAGTACAAAGACAGGGGCCGCCTGATGCTCCTTTAGGCAAACCGAGGTGTTCCTGATCCACTCAGCTGTCCTAAAGGAACAGTGGCACCTCTTGGAAGCGCAGGTTGCCTCCAAAGCATTTGGAACTCAGTGGCGTTTGATGGGTTTTTTTTTTTTTGGTATCAGGGATGGAACTCTGGTCCTTGCGCTTGCGCAGCAGGCGGCGGCGAAACCACTGAGTTAAATCCCCGGCCCAGTGGCATTTGATGGAATGGGCAGAAATCCAACCATCTGACCACCCAAGACCTCCGCCCCACAGGGGAAATCTCTGGTAAGTGAGTAAGCTGATCGTGTAGTGAAAGCAAACTAATACAACTTAACACTCAAGAAAAATAACCCAAGAGCAAAAGCTGGCAAAACCCCTGAGGCTGCTCATGATCAGGAGCCCCTCGCTCTGAACCCCTCGAGGATTCCTTTCCCACCCCCCACTCTGAACCTTGGACCGGGTCACCTCTTCACCGGGTCTCAGAAGTCCCCGTGGGGCATCTGAGCTGCCTCTGTGTTTTCCTATTTGAGTGGAAATTGAGGCCTATCCGGACTGCTCACCGTCCTTTCAATTTCCTTTCAAAAATTAAAAACAGATATTTTGTACATTTCTGATTCAACATCCTTATTTCTTCCCGGAATCTGAAAATAACTCCATCCCCATCAGTCTCTGGTGTCACAGCTGCCTGGATACAGAGCTGGCTGCTCCTGCTTCGTGTTCCGACCCCGGGCAGCTTTCGAACCCACACCAACCCCTTCAGGACCAGAACCTGAGGTACTGAGGCCCTGGCCACAGAGCTACATTGCTACGTCGTTTTAAGTAGCGTTTGAAGCCGGGTGAGTTGTGGAGCATTCTGGGAGGCTGAGACAGGATTGAAAGTTGGAGCCTGGTTTGGACAACTTAGCAAGACCCTGTCTTAACATGAAAGATTTAAAAAGGGCTGGGGATGTAGCTCAGTGCAAAGACCTTGGGTTCAATGCCCAGTACTAAAAATAACCCCAAAACAAAACAAAAAAATGGTTTAGGGATTGAGCCTAGGACCTCACAGTGAGCTACATCCCCAGCCTCCTTTTAAAATCTAATTTAAAAAATTTTGAGGGGCTGGGGATTTAGCTCAGTGGTCTCACCGCCTGCTCCACAAACCCAAGGACTTGAGTTCGTTCCCTGGTACCCCCCCAAAAACCCCAAAAACTTGTCACTGAAATAAGTATACTTTTGGGCCGGGGATTTAGCTCAGTGGTTTCACTGCCTGCTGCACAAGCACAAGGACCTGAGTTCGATCCCTGGTACCAAAAGAAAAAAAAAAAATTTTGAGTCAAGCATCTCAGGGGCAGCAGGCACAGGAAGCTCCAGGGTCAGCGACCTCACCCGACCAGGCCTCAGCTTCTTACTGGGGGAGGGCAGATGGGGCTCCACATAGCCGGCCTGGGGTGAGGCTGGCAGGGCCTGAGGGAACCCATTTCTGGCTGGTTTCAAGTTCTGGGGAGAAGCAAGATGGTCCTCAAACCTGCAATAAAGCATGAAAGACAGTGAGAATTACACAGAGCTGAGACAGCTAACTGATAGCTACTGCGTAGTATTCCAAATAAATCCAGGCCCACCCTTTTGTTAAACTGTAATTGTTTTTTGGTACTGGGGATCAAACTTAGGACCTTGCACTTGTGAGGCAGGTGGCAGAACCACTGAACTAAATCCCAGCCATCACTGGCCCTTTTTTGAGACAGCTTCTGGGTAAGTTACTATTGCTCAAACTGGGTTTGAATTTATGATCCTCCTGCCTCCGCCTCTGGGGATACTGGGATTATCACCCTGTGCTATCACGCTAAACCGATATTTTATCTTTTTAAGGGTATTGACAGAAACCAGGAGATTGTAACCCATTCTTGTTAGCCACCTAGTGAACTTATAGGGATACAGGCTTGTATTTTGTATTGTATTTTGTTTGTTTGTTTTTTTCTGAGACAGGATCTGGCTATGAGTCCAGGCTGGCCTTGAACTCTTGGTGATCCTGCCTCAGCCTCCTGGGTGCTGGGATTACAGGCGTGTGCCACCATGCCCAGCCAGGTTTAGATTTCTATCACACAAGCCTGTTTTACAGCTATGGGTGACACGGGCCTATGACACTTCAAGCCAACAGTTTAAAGCACACAGCTTGTGTTCTCTAAGGATGAGGCTGCTGGGTGAAGGGGTGAATCCAGCCAGGGAAGACAGGACAGCTGTCCTTTTGGTGACCGGAAGCAGGCAGCACAAGACACGGCCTTGCTATGTAGCCTAAGCTGGCCTCAAACTCACTGTGATCTTCCTGCTTCAGCCTCCTGAGTGCTAGGACCACAGGCATGTGCTACCACACCCGGCTCAAAAATATGTATATATTTATATTGCAGTATTCCCGACTTGAGGCACCACAAAAAGATGGAGCCCTCCACTGCCCAAGCATTTAACCCTGACTGCAATTGAGATTAGGCCCAAAGAAATGGCAGTCAGCGCTGGGCGGGAGGGTGCTGGGAGGCCCTGGGGCCAGAGAGCAAGAGAGGCCCAGGTGAGGGGCCCTGGGGCTGGGGCAGGGGCTGGAGGAGGGCCGGAACCCCTTGTGGCACAGACGTGGAGTGGGGGTCCTTGGAGGCCCAGCAGCAGCCCCAGGGGGTGCAAGTGTTCTCGTGGTGCAGGGAGCAGTGGACCCTGAGCGTCCTCAGTGGGGACCCGAGCTGCCCGTGGATGCCTTCTGAAAGTCACCGCCTGACTGGCATGCAGGGCTGCGAATGGGCAGGCCCGGCAGGCGGTCTCAGGAGGAGCCAGAGAGGCGACAGGTGGGGAGAGGTGGCACAGTGGGCACCCAGAGCCAGGAGGGCTGGGCCGGCCATGAGGGCGGCAGGAGGCCCATGTGCTGTGTTTATCTGCGACCCTTCTGTTCCCGATGATGAAACCGGTCTGTGTTCATCAGAAACCGAGTAGAGTACATGCAGAATGCTGCCGTCCGATCTCTGAACACAGCCACTTAATATTGGTTATTTTTTTGCCAAGCGTGGTGGCACACGCCTGTCATCCCAGCACTTTGGGAGGCTGAGGCAGGAGGATGGAAGTTAGAGTCCAGCTTTGGCAATTTCACAACTTAGGGAGACCCTGTCTCAAAGTAAAAACTAAAATAAAAAGGGCTGGGGATGCAGCTCAGTGTAAAGGCCCTGAATTTGAGGCCCAGAACCAAACAAACAAACACACAACACTCAATATCTTTTCAGCATTTTAAAAATGCAAGCTGGGATCACTATAAATAGCTACCATGGTATTTCCACACCATTTATAATTTGCTTTTCTACCCAGAAATCTATGGGGAGGCTCCTCCCATGCAGCTGAATATTTTTCTAAGTACTGTTATCATTGCCCATACTGTCTTGCGTGGATGCATAATCTTTTTGTTTTTTTTAGACAGGGTCTCGCTATGTAGTTCAGGCTGGCCTTGAATTAAGAGGCCCAGGTTGGCCTAGAACGCATGGTGATCCTCCTGCCTCAGCCCCCAAGTGCCACAACTGGGTAACATAATTGATATGATCAACCTCCTACTTTGAGGATATATATTTCTGGTTTTATAAATAATACTGTAATAAATACCCTTGTACATATAGCTGTGACCAAATGATTGCTTCTCAGTAAAAAACTACTCAGCAGAATGACTGACTCCAAAAGTACGAGGTTTTTTCTTTTTTTGGAGGTACTAGAGGATGAGCCGGGAGCACTCTACCACTGAGCTAAAGTCCCATCCCTTTCTGTTTTGTACACCCTGCTCTGACCTTCTGAGGGGCTGTACCTCATCTCATGGATTCCCGCACCCCCAGCCCCAAGTGCCCCACCTGGCACACAGGACAAAAATGTTTGTTGAATCCACCCGGCGGGGAGGTGGCACGGCCACTACTTCAGGGGGAGCTCTCGCGACTGGCAGCCGTGCCCAGCCAGAGAGCTGGGGGCATGGACAACCTCCGGAACTTAACCATCCGACGAGGGGAGCTTAAGGGCCTGGAAAAGCATCCTTGGTTTCTCCACAGAGCAGGACATTGGCCCAAGAATTAACTGTGCCCCTGGGTTGGATCCTGTAGCTATTGGAATCCCTTTATCTGTATCTCTGAAATGTTCTCGTGTCATGGTTACTTCTCTGGGAAGCTAGGGTTTTAATTATTTTGAAAAATAATTTGAGCAGGGTGTGGTGGCTGTCATCCTAGCACTTGGGAGGCTGAGGCAGGGGGATCTCCACAAGTTCGAGGCCAGCCTGGGCCACATAGTGAGACCCTGTCTCAAAAAAATAAAAGATACCAAAAGAAAAAAGAAAAACTGCTTTTGTGTTGTAAGAGAGAAAAGACCCTAACTTGAGTCATCAGTTGGAAGCCTGTGATAACTAATTTTGAAATCAAATCAGAGACCCCAGTGCCTGACTCACAACAGGCCTTGAGGTATCTGCAGGGCAGCTCTGAGGTGGCAACGGGGGTCAGAAGGAGCTGGTGCCCGGACCCTGCATCCCCAGTGGCTGTGGCACCAAGCACACAAAGGCAGGCACGGCCGCGTTTCATCTGTAGCTGAATCCCAGCACCTGGCTGGTGGAGCGCAGAGCTGGAAGGGCCTGGGACAGCTACACAGAGCGTGCTGGGGCCTCCGGGGCCTCCGAGGCCTCCGGTGGCAACCAGGGAAGGTGGGTAAGCGCCTCTCCAGGGGCATCAGAGGAAGACGCCCTGCGTCACGGCAGGGGCCCAGGCCCATGGGTCAGGGGCAAGAGAGCTCTGGGCACCTCATCCCAGGAGGGTAGGAGCGAGGCTGTATCACACAAACAGCACCTGGCAGCTGAGCATGCGCAGAGCTACTCTCCGGCTTTTGCTTTTTGGTGCTGGGTGTGGAACTGAGCTTCATGTCTGGCAGGCAGCTTCTCTGTCCCTCAGCCACACCCCGTCCCACAGAGGTGCTTTAAAGTCATCTAAAATAGATCTGGAGCCAGGTGTGTGTGCGTGTGTGTGTGTGTGTGTGTGTGTGTGTGTGTGTGTGTTGAGACAGGGTTTCACAATATATTCCAGGCTGACCTTGAACTCACTTTGTGACAGGCCTGTGCAGGGCCTCGAACTCACAGATCACAGAGATCCTCCTGCCTCAGCGTCCTGGTGCTAGAACTACAGGTGTGCGGCACCATGACTGCCTTCCACCTGGAGTCTTAACTGTGCAGCCACCCACTGAGGGCCTGTGCGGTGGGAGGCGGCAGAGAGGACAGGCAGGAGTCTACCCAGGTGGTCCCACCATGCTTCAGGTCCTTTCCTCTGAAATGACCCGGAAATCCTGTCATCGACTGACTTCTCTTCCTGGAAGAAGAAATCTGGAGGTAGGGTAGGGAGCAAAGCTCCAGTTATTTCCTTCCACATGAGCTCAGAAAATAAATGAAGAGATAAATGCTTTCCAACACCAATGCTTTATTTTGCATTTTAAACATACGCATCTCATATGGCAGGGAAGTAAAGTGGGTCCCAGGCGAGCAGACTCCTGAGCCCGACTTACACTGGGCACCCAGTCCTGTGGCCGCCGGGGGTGACGGGTCTCTGCAGGGGCTCGTCCCCACTCTGCCACAAGCCGGGCTGTCCCCTCCGCCGTGCCTTCCCCGTGTTGGTCATGATCTGGGGAGGAAGGGAACACAGCTGAGGCACCTGCTCTGTGACAGCCACCAGGAGCACAACCGAGCATCTCCAATGAGGCCTGCATGGAAGGGGAGTGGCACTTTGGGGATAGCCCTTGGTGCAGGAGGATGAATTTTAAAACAAGTAAAATGTAGGAGATGGAAGGAAACTGGCGCCTGCAGTAGCTCAGCACATCTCTGGAGAGAACGACCTTTTCAAGTGAGAAGGGAGAAAAGATGGACAGATTTGAGTCCATGAAAAATTAATATTTCCATCGGGAACAGTGCTGCACATCTGTTATCCCAGCACTGGGGAGGCTGAGGCAGGAGGATCGCCACGAGCTCACGGCCAGCCTGAGCTGCATAATGAGTTCAAGGCTAGGCTGAACTACATAGCGAGACCCTGTCTCACAATTTTTGTAAAAAATTAACATTTCCAAATGTGTAGCAGAGACAGCCAACAACAAGTGGGGAAGAAATGCCTGAGTGAAATGTAACAGCAAAAAAGGTTAACATTTTCATGGGAGCTCCTATAAACCACTGGGCAAAGAATCCACACAGCCACAACACAGAATCCAAAGTATTACCAGTAAAGAGAAGAAAAATGATCAGCCTTACAGGTGATCAGAAACTACGACTTTACAAAAACATAGCTCTCTTCAGCTGTTATATGAGTGACCAAGAAATGGTTCTCTCAGCTGGTGGGAAAAGTGGTCAGAACATCAGCAATGCCAACACTGGAGACAACTGTGAGAACACAATCCATGTTTTATGTTGAGTCAGAAAAACGCTCTATCTTTGGGCATAGATTACCTAAAGAATTCAAACTATGGGGCTGGGGATTTAGCTCAGTGGTCCTCCAGCCTTCCTCACAAACACAAGGACCTGAGTTCGAGACTCGGTACCAAAAAAAAAAAAGTATGGAAACTGTGGAAAATGTTTTATTTTGGTATCAGGGATCGAACTCAGGACCTTGTTCTTGCAAGGCAGGCGCAGTGCCACTGAGCTAAATCCCCGGCCCTTGGAAAATGTTGAATAAGGTTGGTCATTATAAAGTTATTGTGGAGTAAAACTGAACAATCTGTCTAGTAGTAGAAGAATAATTAAGTAAAATATAGTACAGTCATTTGACATATTATATGGCCATTTATTCTGATAAGTAAGTGGTTATGAAGACAAATGTTTATTTAAAACATTAAATAAATATCAGGTAGTAATAACGTACGCAAGCAATCCTTTCAGTTACCTTAAAAATACACAAAAGACTGCAAAGAAATGAATCCTGAAACAGGCAGAGTGGCTATGGGACAGCAGAACTAAGAATCTTTCTTTTCTTTATTCCAAGTTTCCTGTAGTCTGGTTAGACTTTTGTTGGTAAGAAAAACTGTTTAAAGAAGAAATCACTGTAAAAGTGACAAAACCAGAACAAAGCCAACGAACTGAACCCACGTCCACTTCCTGGCTCAGACCTCTGCTATGACTGACCGAAGATGCGAGACTCTGCCTCGAAATAAAAAATTTAAAAATGGGCTGGGGGATGCGGCTCAGTACAAAGGTCCTGGGTTCAATCCCCAGGCCTGAAAATAAAAGAAAAAAGAGAAAAAAAAAGAATGCAGCCCGTTCCTTGCCTTCCGTACCGCCGAGGGAGCCGCTGCTCTGCAAGCGCCCAACCCGCGCTCCAGCTCGCGTGTCCCTCGGCCCGGGGCGCGTGTGTCACACTCAGGCGCCCCCCTTCCCCAGTCCCCTGGCTCGCAGACGCGGGGAGGCTCAGCGCCAGGCTGCTGCGGGAGGGGACGCGGCCACGGGAGGGAGGGGACGCGGCCACGGGAGGGTCCCTTCCAGTCCCAGCAACACCCCCGGCCCGCCTCTCTCCTGAACACTGCGGGCGCCGGGAAACTGAGTCCGCAAGCCGGGCTCTGCCGCACCCCAGCCTCTCCTGGCGCATGTGCGAGCCAGCGCGCCCCAGCCCGGCGGCCTCTCTGAGCTGCACAGACAGACCTTCGAGGGCTCTCGAGTCTGGGGGGACAGCGGGGATGCGGGGGCCTGGCACCCACCGCCACTCACACAGCGCAACCGCTCCCATCTGGGGTACAGACGGAGATTTTGTTTGAAAAAAGCTTCCGCTGCTGCAAAAGGCAGCGTATTTCACCGCAAGACACGCAGCACAACCCTTCAAGGCCTGGAGTTCTGTTTTTGGACCGCCCATAACAACGGAGCATAATTGAATATTTTTCTCTTCAAATTCTTGTTCCTTGAATTTTTTCTAGACAACATTTATGCAAAATTGCATTTATGAATTTTACAATTTATGCATTTTATGCAAAAATTCAAAAGATTGCAATCTTCGGCATAATGGGATAATAATTAGCTGCATTCAGTTTATTCAGCACCACACGGTGATTAACATGCATCAATGAGGGGAGGGGAAGAAATCTATTTTCTATTTTAGTTTTGAGAATTTGTGACTCACATTAGGAGTTGCAATCCTCCTGCCTCAGCCTCCTGAGTAGCTGGGGTTCCAAGTGTACTGCACTGTGCCTGGCAGAGTAACATATCTTAATTTCAGTCACTTAATGCTGCTGCGACACTTAATGTCCCTCACTTAATGTCCCTCTGCTCCGACTTTCCTTGCAACCTCCTCTGTGTCACCTGGTGCTGGGACTTTCTGGTTTGCTAAGGAGACACTGAGTTGAGTTACCTAGGATCTGGGGGGAAACGTGTCTGCCTCAGCCACTTTTCTACGTAGTCCAGTGATTGCCAGCTGCCAGAGGGGCAGGAGGGGGCTCAGACTACTCAGGAATAACCCACCAGTGTGCAAGAAAACCCTTACAGCTGAAGAGTGGCCGAATACGCCACTCTGGCATGAGGGCTATTTTGTGCTAAAGGCACTTGAAAACCAGCCCGTGTGAGGACACTTGGATCTTCCCCAGCAGAAATAAGACTCCCTGTAGGGGCTGGGGATTTAGCTCAGTGGTTTCACCGCCTGCTGCGCAAGTGCAAGGATCCGACTTTGATCTCCGGTACCAAAAAAAAGACTCCCTGTAAAGATGACCTCTCATACCAGGAAAAAAGAACACTGTGGCTGGAAGTCACGGCCCATAGAGTTCTGTACACACACCTGGTTAAAATACGTCTCGCCTCTTTCTCTCTCAATGGAAAACGCTGCAAACTTGTCACACATGTTGACAAAAACATGACATTTCTATATTTATTTTGGTAAAGCAGTCCAAACTTGTCATATATAGATGTGTTCAAAAATGTGGGAAGAAAGCCAGGTGTGGTGGGGCACGCCTGCAACCTCAGTAGCAGGGAGGCTAAGGCAGGAGGATTACAGCTCAAGGCCAGCCCGAACTACAAGACTCTGTCTCAAAAAACAAAAAGAAATAAGTACATAATGCAGGTTTTAGCAGAATGTGCCCGTAAATTTGTTGGGAGGTCCGAAATGGCTGGCTGAGGTCTGAATTCCTGAGACACACCCGTCACTGTTGTTAGAGGTGACTTCCAAACAAACGCAGAAAAACTGGGACTCTAGGATGTGTCCTGCTATCAGTAAACCAGGTGAAGCAGCTGTTGAACTTGGGGCTTCTCCATGGGGAGAGTTAATGATTCTCCAGCACAGTGTGGGTAAGCTCCTCTGACACTGCTGCAGGAGGGTCGGGCGTGAGCTGTGGGTCTTGGGTGAGCGATGGTCAAGGGAAGCCTTGACCTATAAGAACAGGGTGGGAGGGGTGAGTAGCCCCGGCCTGGGAAGAGGGACTTGTCCCTGACGGGAGTGTGTGGGGCTGTGACATCCAGGAATCCCAGGGACACTTCCTGCAGCCCCATCTCCCTGGCGGGTGCTGGGTCACTGGTGAGCGCCGTACTGATTCCTGGGATTCAGGTCAGGGGTCTGGGTCCAGCCTAAATGCTTTTTAATCCACACATCCTCGTCTGGGCCCAGCTCTGGCTCCAAGGGTGACACCTACCAGGCTCCCGATATCCGGCTGTTATCCTGTCTCTCAGTGACAGCTGTCATGTTTCCTGTCTTCTTTTGTGAGCTTCCTGAAGGTAGCAGCTGTGCCTTCAGCTTCTCCACTGCCTTAGGCAAATGGTTCAGGTTCAAATATAATTCTTCTGACCACACATTTCAAAAAGCCAACATCTTCAGACTCATCTTTGGAAACTGGAAGGGCACCAGCACTTCAGAAGGAGAGCCCGAGTCCTGATTTTGGGGACATATTCCCTGGGGGAAGCGTCCTCTGCCTTCTCCCCTCATCTGGGACAAGCAGTTAGAAGAGGACCTTCAGTCCTTCCTCGAGCCATGGGCATGGCCAGAGTCCCCTTTGTGACCTGTGATCCAGCACACGGGCTGTAGGCTGGTGACTTCAGATCCCAGCCCCAGGCAGTGAGGCTGACTCCATGTGACAGGTGACCAAGTACAGCACAGGGAGTACATGTGGGACCTCAGAGTTCTGCAATGCAGATGTTGTTTCTGGTAATGCACAGATGTCCCCAGGATGAGCTCCTGTGGCGACCTGGGGTGGTGGTCCTGATAGCGGCCTCCAAAAGCTAAACCCACATCCTGACCCTGGAACCTGTGATTGAGGCCTTGTTGGGAGTCTGTTCCATGGCTCCATGCCCAGTGACGAGGGTCTCCACAGGGGACAGAAGAGGAGGACAGAAGGGGAGGGGCTGCTGCTGATGGAGCCAGAGATCAGAGCGATGCAGCCACAAGCCAGAGCAGAAAGACAAGGAGGAGTCTTCCCCAGGGCCCGGGGGAGCCCTGCCTGAGACACCTTAGTTTTTAGGGCTTCTGCCTCCAACGCCATGGGAGAGTGAATTTCCACGGTTTCAAATCCCTCAGTTCTTGGTATTCTGTTATTGCAACCAAGGGGATGAATGTACTTGGGCTTCACATCTACACTGAATTCTATCTGTAGCTCATTCTTTCTTTTTTGTTATTTTTTTTTGGTTGTTTGAGACAGGGTCTTGCTATGTAGCCCAGGCTGGCCTTGAACTCATGGCCATCATCCTGTCTCAGCCTCCCAAGTGCAGGGATTACAGGTGGGCACCACCATGCCTGGCCCATATGCTGTTCTCACTACTCACATCTCCATCCAGCGGTGCCGGCGGGATGAACAGCCACATGGAACTTCTTCTGGCACTGACGGCTTGGTGGCTGTTCGTGAGGACCATGGGGGTGGAGCACAGGCACAGTGCCTTCCTCAGCTGTTGCCCCTGCTTTTCGAAAGACCCCACCCATTGGCATCCTGTGCTTCGTGTCACCCGTTGTGAAGCAGATGGCCCCGCGGGTGCTCTGAGACACGTGTCTCCCGTGGACAGAGAGGCTTCCCCATTGCTCAGGGCTTCATCGGAACCTGGCCGCCTCCTGCTGAGCCTCCATGCACCTGACTGTCACTGTTCACGTCCAGATGCTCCCCAGAGCCCCATACACTCCTATGCAGGGCTTGAGACAGCCACTGAATGAGTGGTGAGTGGTCGGGTCTGCAGCGGAGGCCGTTAGGAGGCGGGGCCTGGGGACCGGGTGGTCACTCCCCTGCCCCAGCTCCGCCCTCCTGACTGCAGCCCAGCCAGAGTCCTTCCTGTTTAGCTGTTGAGTCCAGGGGTCTCCCAGGGGTCAGATCCTGGCCCGGCGACCCACCGGACAACACAGCCTCTCAGATGGACTGACTGCTGGCTCCGCCCTGCTTCCCTGGGGTTCTCTGCCGGCCTCCAGCTGTTTTGCTGTCTCCTTCCTCTGCCTCCTCTGTGTCTCCGGGCTGGAGGTGCTGCAGCGCCCTCTGTCCTCAGGCCCTGGTCCGTCCCCCCCCCACGCTCCACTTTGCTGGGTGACTCATCTGCTCTGGTGGCTTTGTCACTACCTCTATGCGGATGCCTTCCCAATCATCGGGTGCAGGGGCTGCAGAGGTGACAGCCAAGGTTGTGCCATGGCCTGGCCGTCATGCCCAGGGCCACCTCCGGACACTGGGGCCTCGTGGCATGTGCCCGAGTCACACTCTGAAGTCCTGCTGCCGGCCATCTGTGACAGGTCTCCGGCACCCTCCTCATAGGCCACACGGGGCCCTGAGCTCCTGCGACATCTGTGAAGACACCCTCATCCCTCCCGCCCGGCCTGGTGGCACTCACCCCCAGATACTCCGTGGTCAGGAGCTTCTCGCCCGAGAGTTCCCCAAGCTGGGGCAGGATCAGCTCGTCCTTGTCCAGGTCGGCTTCCATGGTGTCATGGTCCTCCTGTTTCGAAGGGGACAGGGTGAGTGCGGGTCCTGACAGCACCTGCCACAACCCCCAGAGGTGCAGGCCCATAACTGAGGCGGCCTCGGCCCAACAGGACACTGGGGCTGCCTGCCCTATCTCCTCCCTGTGAAGGTGTGGGGACGAGACCGCCCCCAACCCCAGGAGCCAGGTGAGCGCCCCCATGGTGGCAGGCGTGACTAGCGGCTCAGCGGCCTCTCCCAACCATGGTGCCGGGTGAGTGGCCACAGTGACCCGAGCACTCACACTGGCCTGAGGGGAGCAGGAGACCTGCAACAGGCCTGTCCTCTAGGAGCTTTGCGGCGAAGAAGGAAGAGGGTCAGTGCTCTGGTCTCAGCCACAGGAGCTGAGGACAGGGACATCATCGTGTGGAAAGCGTCCCATGACACGTGTGCTGTGTCACCACCATGGCTGTCACCTTCACTGTCGCCCTGAGGCAAATGCAGCCACCCCATCGAGCACAGAGGAGGTGCCTGCCGGCAGAGAGCGGTGGGAGGAGGAAGCACCGCTGGGGCGGACTGACCTGGCCCCTATCCGTATCCATTGTGCATGGCAGATTCAGGGATGGTGTCCACAGAGGGGGAAACCAAACCCAGGGGGCAGCCAGTGCTGCGTCACTGATCTTAAGAATGCGGTGATCGGCCTGGCATGGTGGCGCACCCTTGTAATCCCAGAGTTTGGGAGGCTGAGGCAGGAGAGTTGAAGGCCAGCCTGAGCTACATAGTTCAGGGCCAACCTTGGATATAGCCAGAACCTGTCTCAAAAACCAACCCCCCTTGTCGGGGATCTAGCTCAGTGGTTTCGCTGCCTGAGTTGGATCCCAGGTACAAAAAAAAAATAAATCAGTAGGAAAAAACCAACCCTCCATCAAATAAAAAATGCCAACAATGAGGCACACAGCAGGTCCTGTTGAAGCTATTCAGCCTATGGGCTTTGTTATGGCAACCCTAGGGAGCCCCTTTCCCCTGCAAGCCAGGCACATGCTCTACCAAGCAGCTCCACCCCCAGGTCTGAAAGGTTCTGTTTCTGTTTTTAAAGACTCAGCCAAAAGAAGAGCATTTGGCTTTAGGGAAGATGGGGTGGACTTACCTTTCCCCATTCCTCCCAGCCTGAACTCACACCCCGTCTGAAGGGTGGACACCGTGGCCCTGGGACATGAGGACTGGCAGGAAGCCAGTTCCTTGGGTTCTCTTCCTGCCCTGTGTGTGCTAGACTTGAAGACAAAGAGTCCCCCAAAGCCATTCCTATCCAGAGGCCAGGAGAGGGGGTGACGAGCATGACCAATACCGGAAAACGCTGGGGGCTGTGGCCACCCACACTTCTGGGGGGGTGGGGAGGGACCACACCCCTGCTGCACAGTGATGAGGCCTGTGATCCTAGCACTCTGGGAGGCTAAGGCAGGAGGATTTCAACTCAAGCCCAGCCTAAGCAATTTAGTGACAGTGAGACCCTGTTTTAAAATTTTAAAAAGTCTAGGGATGTAACTCAAAGCAGAGGCCTGGGTTCAATCCTCAGGGTAAAAGAAGAAGAAAAAGGAGAAGTGGGAGGGGAAGGGGGAGAAAGAAAGAAGAAAAAAGAAAATTGATAAAACAGCTGGTTCTTTGAAAGGATTGATAAAATTGACAGACCTCTAGACACACATTACCAATATCAAGAAGGCCGGGGATTTAGCTCAGTGTTTCCACCGCCTGTTTCTGCAAGCTCAAGGACCCGAGTTTGATCCCCAGCACCAAAAGAAGAAAATAGGACAATGAGGGATTACTAAAAAAAATCTCTACACATGCAAATGTGACAACTTAGAAGAAAGACTAATGTCCAGCCTCTCAGTGTGAAACAAAAGATCGAACAGTCCTATAATTAGTAAGAAAATAGAATTCTTTAGTTTAAAAGCTCTTATAAAAGGAATCTCCAGGGCCGGAGATTTAGCTCAGTGGTGCTGCCACGCCTGCCCCGAAAGAACAAGGATCCGAGTTTGATTCCTGGTACCAAAAAAAAAAAAAGGAATCTCCAGGCCCATATGATTTCGCTGGAGAAATCTATCAGGCTTCTAATGAAGTAACATCAATTCAGCAAACAGAAGAGGAAGTAACATTTCCAAATTATCCCATGAAGCTAGTTTTACCCTGGTACCAAAACCAGGTAAAGACAGTGCCCAAGAAGGAAAACACAAACTTCTTTCACAGATACACTGCAGAAATCCTCAACAAATTATAGAATCCATGGGCTGGGGATGTAGCTCAGTGGTTCTGTCGCCTACCTCGAAAGCGCAAGGTCTGGAGTTCGATCCCCGGTACCCCCCCCAAAAAAAAGCATGTAAAAAAATTCAATAACCAAAATGACAAAAACTGTCACAAAAATAAGAAAAGAGGTGTACTTGCTAAAAAGCAGTCACAGAAAATCCAGTCAGACATTATACTTAGCTAAAAGCCTTGCCCCAGGTCCGCCTAGGGCCTTCGACGGCAATCAGCACCACTTCCTCCGGGGAGGCGGCTGAGAGTCACCCTCACCCAGCTGTCTCAGGAACACTTCCTGAGCTCGCTTGGTATGGACCCATCAGGGGCCACATATCTCCACAGCGCTGGCCCGGCGGCCACTACACTGCCTCGGTGCAGATGCCTTTTATTGAGCCTGTTCTCGAGGGAAACAGAAGCTCAAGAAGCGAAGAGCCCAGGGGGCAGTCCAGGAGCCTGGCCAGCCCCTCGGTGCCGGGCTCCCGACGCTTGCCCGCCGGCTCTACTGGGCACCCGCGCTCCCTGGCGCCTGCTGAGACTGCTCAACAGGACACAGGGAGGGAAGGGCCCATCCGGGTGTCCCCGGAGAACCCACTCTTGTCCTGGCCAGACCGCAGGGGCCCGGTCCACTGTGAGCTACGTCCTGGTCTTAGGCTTCACAGCGAGGGTGGCTGCCAAGCGGTAGCGGCCCCGTGTCCCAAAATACCACTCAGAGTTCCCCAAAGGCAACACTACCCCGAGGTCAGCGCTGGGCGTCCGCAGGAGGCCCCGGCAGTTTACAAAATAGCCACATCTCCGCGCTCGGGCAGCGTGCGTCGGGGACGGACAGTGTGCGCGCAGCTCCTTGGGAACCGGGCGGGTGGAGTGAGCTGGGGGCCAGTGCGGCTAGGGTTTCCGCGGTCCCCGGGGAACGGACCTCGGAGCCCTGCCTGGAAACGGGCATGTGAATCACAGGTCCGCCCAGGTATTGGTGACATGCCACTTCCCCGCCAGGAGGGAACACGAGCCGCGGAGGAACACAGCAAACCCCACATTCCACCTGGAGAGGAGGAGAAATGGCTGACCCGGTGTTTCTTCCCCGACAGCGAGAACATGTGTAGGAGCCATTCACTTGCAAATCACCCTATACATCCGGGCAGGCCTCGGAGCCCCGAGGGTGGATGGACTGAGCAATGAGCAAGAGATGCGCTTAAATATGTACCTACTCAATGTTTTTTTAATTTAAAAAGTTAAAGCTTTCCTTAAAAATGAAAAGTACTTTACAGTTAGGCATAGCGGTGCGCTACTGTAATCCCAGCATTCACAAGGCTGAGGCAGGAGGATAGCCACGGTTCAAGGCCAGCCTGGGCTACACAGACCCTGTCTCAAAACAAACAAACAAACAAACAAGCAAACAAACAGAAGCCCGAGCTCCCTGTAGTCCCCTCCGACCCTTCAGGGACTTCTTTGGGTGGCTCACAAATGCCAAAGGAGACCACATGACACTGGACTCTACTCTGTGAAGAGTGACAGACAAGGAACTGCTCTGTGAATACATGCCTCATTAGGGTGCGTCTGAAATACCATTGTTGGAGGAATTTTACTAAAATTACTGGCCTTTATGTGCTTGGCAGAGTGCATCGGGTTACCTACAGAGAGCTCGGTGATAACTGATTACTCAGGAATTAAGCATGGCTCATAAAAAGGCACCTGAGCCCAGATGAATGTCGATGTTCCCATACGAAGCTTCCCCGCAGCGGCTCTGTGATCCTGTGACACCACACGATTCTTAACTGGACTCTTTCGATACATAATACTGCAGGCCAACCAGCTTCCAGTCAATTGGCCTGAAAACAAAACTAAGGTTGACCACTCAATGCATTTGAAAACTCAGATTCTCAAAGATATAAAGCAGAGAGTGGGACGCATTCAAGTGGTTTCACAGGTGACAAGTGAAAGTATCCAGTGTAATGGCCACTTGAAATAATTACAGGGCTTCTATGAGCGGTTTAAACCTGAGACAGCCTCTCAGAGTTCGGAATTGTAAACCTCACTCTTTGTGAAAATACAGGAACCCTGTGCTTGGGGGAGCCAGGGTGGCCCGAGGTGAGGAGGCGGGTGGTGGGATCTGCTCTCCCGGTGACGGCCTCCGGTGGTGTCTGCCCCACTCTGTGCCCAGGCCTGAGGCCGCAGGTGGACTCCTGAGGACTGCTCTGCTGTCACCTCCTGTTTGCAAAGGGCATCCCAGGCTCACAGCAGGGGCCAACAGCTGGGTCCTTAGGTGGCCACATGGTAGCAATCAGAGATCCTAACATCCTCTTCCCTACTTCTTCCAGTGCATCACTCTAGCTGCTCAAGTTTAAGCAAAAAGAGCAAGAAATATGGAGATTACCGGGCATGGTGGCACACCTGTAATCCCAGGACTCCAGAGGCTGAAGCAGGAGCATCACCTCGAGTTTGTGGCCAGCCTAGGCTACATAGCGAGTTCAAGGGCAGCCTAAATTACATAGCGAGACCCCGTCTACAAAAAAAAAAAAAAAAGGATGACGGCAAAGATGTCCCGAGAAAAGCAGGGTTTATCAACATTTAATCCACAGACTCGGAGGTGACCTGCGGCCCTAAAAGGACCTGAGTGAAGGCTGCCAAAGCTGTAGCAGCTCTGCAGACACAAGAGGTACAGACATGAACATAAGGGCCAGAGACCAGGTCAGGGGTGTCTGAACCACCCCAGAATTGGAGACAAACCCCCCTCATGGAAAGGGTGTCCTCACACCTGAGCAGGGAGGCTAGAGAGAAAAAGTGTTCTTCAGGCAGGGGTGGTGGTCCAGGGCTGTAACCCTAGCACTCTGAGAGACTGAGGTCAGAGGATGGTGATTTCAGCTTGGGCAAATTAGTGACTTAGTGAGACCCTCTCTGAAAATAAAGGATGAAGGCCCCAAGTTCCACCTCCAGTATTACAACAAAACAAAACAATTACTCAGTAAATTGTGAAGTTCTGAAATAACGATGCTTGATGAACCTCCAAGTTGTCACAGAAAAAACTCAGAACAAAACAGGAAAAACTCCGTTGCTGGACGCTAAGAGAAGTCAGCCAGGCCAGCCAGCCTTTCACTCTGGGCGGGGGCTCGGCTTCTCTTCCAGCCCTTCCCACCCTGCCTCTGTCCTGGCCCCACTGGCCTAGGCTCCTTTGGTTCTGATCCTGCTCCCAGGGGACTTGGGTGGCATCAGACCTGGGGGACACAGCCCTGCACCCTGAGTCTGCGGGCATCAGTGAGTCCTGGGGTCCACATGCTACACAATGAGGATTCGCAGATAAGGACACAGATGCCAAGAGAGTCCGGCCACCTGCAGGTGACAGCTGGGCGGAGGACTCCAGCCAGGCAGCCTGACCACTGCCCCGTCCTGGCATTTAGCTTCAGCCACCACGGACTCAACACAGCAGTGCTGGCCATGCAGCCGTCCTCTTCTAGGGTCTCGGGGCCAGCAAGTCCACCCTGGCTGCTCCCTATGGCTGGGGACGGCTGGCATGCAATCAAGAGCACACAATCAAGGGCACACATGACACAAGACGAGTGTGGCCCGGAACCTAGTGACCTGCCGGCTGGCCGTCAGGGACCACAGCAGCCCCTCCTGTACAGCTGCAGAAGGACAAGGAGTGGATACCACCCAGCAAGATGGAGGGAAAGGAAAGCAACGTTCATCATGTCCCCGATGGGCCACAGGTGAGCTTGCTGGTCTCACGTTGTGTCCGTCACAATTATGAAGAAACCAAGCAGTGCTGTGTGTGGAAATACAAAAGCAGGCTGGGGCCTGACCAACAGGGCTTTGAATGTCATCACAAGCAATGTGAGATTTTACTGGGTGATGAGAACAGACACATTCAAAAAGCCAATGTGTAAAGTAGAAATGGGCCTAGGCCCATTGGAGGGCAATTTAGCTGGATATGGTGAAGACAACATGTCATAAAACCAATGACTTGATGTCCATGCATGAGCTACAAAAAAGCACTTGCACGCACACACACACACACACACACACACACACACACACATACACACGCTTGTACAGGAAACATGGAAGAGGAAGCTTTTTGCTACACGAAGGAAAGTACAGGAAAGGAAGGAGGACGATGTGGTTTATATTTGCAGTAGAATACTATATAGCAGTTAAAGGGCTGGGAACTTAGCTCAGTGGTTCTGGCACCCACCTTGCAAGCACAAGGTCCTGAGTTTGATCCCCAGAACCAAAAAAAAAAGAAAGAAACTATATAGCAGTTAAATGGATGAATGGGGCAGTACTTACTGGTATGAACAAAGCTGTAACACACACTGTTGAATGAAAAATGAAGCTGATAAGTGATTTACATACTATTAAGCCATTGATGTTAAGAGGCATAAAACAAAACCTGGGGCTGTGGCTCAGTGGTACAGCATCCACAAAACAAAGAAGCAAACAAACTATAGCAATAGTGCACACTGTTCACGGAATCATAAAGGTATTATAAAAGTACAGAATCCCAAACTGGGCATGGTGGCGCACACCTGTAGTCCCAGGACTGGGGAAGCTGAGGTGGGAGGATCCCTGTAAGTTCCACATCAGCCTGGGTTACATCATGAGGTTCAAAGCCAGCCTGGACTACATGGTGAGACCCTGCCTCAAAACAACAATAACAGCAGCAGCAGCAGCAGCAGCAGCAGTAACAGCACAGAATCCTTGGAATTTATCACCAACTTCAGGGCGGTGGCTGATCTGATTCTGGGGAGGGCGGGAGAGATCCAGGGCCATCTGTTATCTTATCTTTTGCACTTTCTGGAACTTTTGAAATGTTCCCTGAGTTACAAATGAAGAGACTGTGTCCCGAGGTGTCCATCCTAGGGACTCTGGGAAGATGGTCTGGTGGCCACATGGATAACAGCCGGGAAAGGAAGGACATGGAGCAGAAAAGGAAATGAAAGGGATCGGGCGGGTGAGTCACCGAACTTCCTCACCGGATGAGGAGCCCTTAGGTCCAGGCATGTGGTGCTGCGACAGCCGGGCCGCCTCTGGACCTCACTCAAGGCCGAGACTGCTCAGTTCCCTGGAGTCACTCAGAGAAACCCAAGCTGTGTGGGGCGATGCCTGCTGAGCCCCGAGGGGATCTCGAAGGCTGTAAGGGTGCTCGGTCCCTGGGCCCCGAGGTTCAGGTCAAGTCCTAGCGACTAGAGTCCCCTATGAGTTTTCCTGCCTCTCAGAACAAAAGCTAGGCCTCACCCGTCACCATCACCCAGGGGTGACGCTGTCACTCTGGGCCACGTTGCTGCTTTCCAGCCCTGTCACTGTCCTCTCCTGCACCTCAGCAGGGAGGCCCAGCGCTCTCCTCCGCACCTTCCACCTGCGCCTCCCTCTTACCTGATGGTTTCTAACATAAAAAGCCTGGGGTGGAGGGATTGAAAAAAAGAAGACGCCATCCAGCTGAAAGAACAGAGAAGTTATTAAAGGACAGTGAAGAAAGTCGCAGGGATCCGCTGGGCAATATTAATATTCTAACCATGTGTAGCTGGATTTCCAGGAGGAGCGGAAGGAAAGGGCAGGAAAAATGGCTGAACACGTTCACAGTTGGAGAAAAACTGTAACCAACAGGCCCAAGAAGTTCTGCGGATGCTAAAAAGGATTGGTGTACACAAAAAAACCACACCTCACACATCAAACTGTTGAGAGCAAAGCTCACAGGTGACTTCACCCGCTGATGTGGCAGCTGCAAGACCCCAGGGTGAGCCCTGCGTGCCGGAGAAGCCTCCATTCGGGTGTGCAGTGAGATCAGGCTTACCCAGGGCAGATGAACTAAAACAAACCCCAGACTTTAGACAACTGAGACTATTAACAGACCCACATTGAACGTGGGTGGAGATTCACAAATGTATATATAAATATGTGTACTCTTTCCCTTAATTTCTTTATAACTATTTATAACACTGAGCTAATAAAAGACATAGAGGCATATTACGGCAGAAAGAGCACAAAAGAGGAACAGAAATGGAGTCACTCTGCTCTACAGTTTTTCTTTTAAAGACAAGGTCTCGCCTGGCCGGGACACGAGGCAGAGGCCGCGAGCGGGCGTCTTGGACAACATTTGGCTGTGTCCCCTCCAGCCCTTGGGGCAGCTGCTGATTCAGCAGGTCCTCTGGGCCCCCATCCAGCCCACTGCTGACCAGCCCACTCTCCTGCGCTGAGCCCTCCTACAGGCCTCCCCCTGGCCCTGGTGGACCCTGAGAAGTGGGAGTCATTCAGCCCCAGAGGAAAAGCCTCTCACGCTCACCTTGAAGACCCCAGAGGGAGAGAGAAAGGAGGGTTCATTCAGCCATAAACCTATGGGCTAAGCCCCAAGGAGCAGGGCCAAGGGTCATCGTTACCTCATCCTTACATAGGTCCTGTTACCCTCGCATTTCTTTTTTCTTTTTTCCTCCCAGTACAGGGAATCGAACTCAGGACCTCGTGTTTGTCAGGCAGGTATGGTGTGATTGGCACCTGCATTTTTTATCTGCCAAACCGTATCAATGAAGTAACCTTTCATTTTTCCTTTCCAAATCAACAAAGATATCCAAGACTGAGTGTACAATAAAATCAATGTCCTGATGGGGGAAAAAAAAGACAGGGCCTCAAGATGTAGTCCAGGCTGGCCTCAAACCCCTGGCGACCCTCAGGCCTGAGCCTCCCGAGTGCTAAAACTACAGGCATGCAATCCCACGCCCAGCCTTGGTGTAAAGCTCTTATATTTTACCAGAAATAAATCAGTATTAACTTAAACTAGTTTATGATAAGTAAAAAATGCATATTGCAATCCCTAGAAACAATTTTTTAAAAAATCAAATACAGCTAGAAATTGCCAAATATAGCCAGAAAGTGATTAAAATGGTATGCTATTATATTTTTTAATAAAAAGGGTGGCAGAACATGTACAGTATTTGTTTTTTGAGACAGGGTCTCAATACATAGTTCAATCTGGATTCCAACTTGTGACAATCCTGCCTCAGCCTCCTGAGTGCTGGGATTACAGGCGTGCACCACTATGCCCAGCTATGTATTTGTTTATTTCAAAAGAAGGCAAGAAAGAAGAGAACAAAGAGATGAGATAGAAAATGGATAGACCGCAAATAGATAACTACATTAAATACAAATGTTAAAACAATTTTGGAAAAGAAAAATGTTGAAGGACTCATATTCCGCAGCTTACTATAAAGCTACAGTAATTAACATCATGTGGCGTTAGTAATGAGACAGATGCACAAATCAAATAAGCAAAAGTGAGAGTCCAGAAATAAAACCTTATATTTATGGTCAATTTTGTTTTTGAGACAAGGTCTTGCTATGTATCCCAGGCTGGCCTCTAACTACTGATCCTCCTGCCTCAGCCTCCTGAGGGCTGGAATCACAGGTGTGTGGCACCATGTCCAGCCAATTCTGTTTGTGCAAAGGTGCAATGTGGCAGAGTGACTCAGTGGATCAATGCACAGCCTTTTCAACAGATGGCACCAGGGCAGCTGCAATTGCCCTGCAGAAAGATGCTCCTGTCTGTGTGGGCGTGAAGCTCTGACGTGGTCTCCCGAGCTGAGCCCCATGGGCAGGGGACAGCCGAGCACTCCCCAGTCTGCCAGCGCACCCTTCCCTGGTTTCGCGGGTGACTCCTCCCACGAGGAGCTGAAGTCTGTTTTTCCACCACCACCCCCCACCCCCGGGTCTGGGTGGCCTTGTCACTCCGGCCAGGAGGATGTGGTCCGAGTGGGGCCCTGAGAGTCTCAGCCTCAAGAGCCCGGGGCTCCTCCCCTCCCCTCTCGAGCCCAGAAAGCCTGGCAAAGCATCAGGAGGACAGAGGAGCCCCTGACAGCCAAGTGCACGGCCTGTGGCTCCAGTGGGGCCTGGCCAAGCGCGGCCGCACAGGCAAGGCCAGGTGGAGCCACAGAGGACCTGGTCACCTCACAGGGGAGGAGAGGCAGGCGTGGGCTGAGGCCTGGGGTGTAGGAGGTGGCCATATCAGCCAAGCCCATGCTGGCCCTGAGCACAGGAGGGGTCCTCACAAGCACAGCTCGTGACCCACCGCGTGCGTTTCTGAGACAGGGCAAGGGCTGGAGGAACACAGCCGAGTGCCGGTTGAGTTCTCACCTCAAGGACAAAGAGGGTATAAACACCTAGGCATCTGGAGGCATCTAAATGCCTCCACCTTCCTCTAGATGGATTCTCTACAGGAGGAATGATCAGAACTCCTGTCGGGCGTGGTGTCACATGTCTGTGATCCTAGTTTGGGAGGCTGAGGCAGGAGGATCATGAGTTGGAGGCCAGACTGGGCCACAGGGCAAGTCCTGGTCTCAAAAAAACAAAAAAAGGAAAGCACTCTTGCATGATATCCGGCTGGGGCATTCACTCCACCAGTGAGTTATCCAGGAAATACCTGGCACGCCCAGGTGCTGGGCCAGGCAGCAGAGCCTCAGGAGGACAAAACCAAGCCGCATTTGTCAGTTGAGGCAGTGCACACAGGAGCCAAAAGCAATGGGTCACAGTAAGGGTCGGAAGCAGCACCCAGTCAGCAGCAGACACGCTGTGAACCTTTCTCTGCAGCATCTCGCTCCCCACAGCAAATGTTAACTTTCATGTTGCTTCTGTTTTTTTTCTATTGCAAGTGCTCTCATTCTGCTTTTACCAAAATACAAAATAAAAAGGGGTGGGGATGAAGCTCACTGTGAGGCCTTGGGTTGAATCCCAGAACTGCTAAAAAAAAAAAAAAGGAAAGAGAGAGAGGAAAAATATCCCACATAGAATGTACTATTGGTTCAATAACCTATGATAACAAGAAAGAGCTATAAACTGCTTTGGTGTAATTTTTTAAAAGTTAGATGAGAGGGCCGGGGATTTAGTTCAGTGGTTCTGCCACCTGCCTCGAAAGTGGAAGGTCCCGAGTTTGATCCCCGGTACAAACAAAAAAATTAGATAAGTGAGAAAAAAGTTTATTGTTGAGCACCGGTGGCCCTTTTCTGCCTTTTTCCATGAAAACAGATGATGGACAAAAAGGGTGTCAACACCTAGGCATCCCAAGCCGTCTAAGTGCCTCCACCTTGTTTTGAGCATCTGTCGTCTATTTCCATGGAAACCAGAGTGGAAAAGAGGACAGCAGGCATGAGTCAGCCCTGGGCAGTGCCTCCTGGAGGGCTGGGCTGGGAAGCAGATGGACAGAGAAACTGAAAAAGTACCAGAAAAAAGCAAAAGCCTTAATGGGAAACACTGGTTTCTTTACTGACTTGGCTGGGTAATGGAAAAGCCTTGCAAGTCACACAGACCTAAGACAGATGGTTCTAAGCCAATTAGGTGACTGGGAATTAAAGTGTTGCCTGTCCCATGCCGAGCACGCTGGCTGTGAGGTGAGGTCAGCAGAGTCCCAGCAGGCCCTGCGGCAGCTGTGGGTGGCTCAGTAACCCATGGGCTGTGTGTGAAGGTGTCTGCAGGGAGGGGAAGCCCAAGCCTCAGCCTCGTGTCTTGGCCCCGGATCACAGGACCACACGGGAAGCTGGTCAGGGGCTGCGGGCTCCACACCCTGAATTCTCTGGTCCAGTCAGGGCATCCCTCTGGCTCCGTGTAAACTGCACTTTCAGCTCACACATGATCTGGACCCACGCACCCCTCAGGCCAGGGCTTCCCATTCTCCCAGCTTCCGAGGGTGGAGGTTAGCAGCCTTCCCGTTAGTTCCCTCCTCCTGGGGCCTCCCTGTCTTGGCCTGCTCCAGCACAGTTCCCCACTAAACCTGCAGCAGGAGGGAGGTCTACAAACAGGCTCTGCCATCATAGGCTTAAATCTCACCCCGCCCAATCTGCACTGGACCCTGAGCAAGTTTGTTCTTCCTTCTCTCCTCCTCCCTCCTCCCTTCTTTTTTGTTTTGCATTTTTGAGACAGGGTCTCACTATAAATATAGTTCAGGCTGGCCTTAAACTCACTATGTAGCTGGGCCTGGTGGCGCACGCCTGTACTCCCAGCACTCAGGAGGCTGAAGCAGGAGGATTGCTGGGAGTGCGAGTCCAGCCTGAACTGCATAGCAAGACCTTATCTCAAAAAAGAAAAAAGAAAAAAAAAAGCTCACTGTGTAGCCTAGTTTGGCTTTGAACTTGCAGCAATCCTCCTGCTCCAGCCTCATGGGATCACAGCCGTGCACCACCACGCCAGCCTGAGCAAGTTTCTGAGCCTCTCTAAACTCTGCTTTCCTCGTGCAGAAGACAGGGCCGGTAACAGGCCTGCTTGGCAGAGGGGCTTGGCTAGGGAGTGCCTGGCCCAAGCCCGCGGATAGGAAGCACCGGAAAACACTGTGTAGTCATGAGCGGGCTTCCAGCTCACTTCAGCTCTGGTGCCAGATTCGTCTTCTGAAGATGAAGGTCGGTCCACTCCCCTCCCTGCCCGGCTCCCACAGCCCACGGGGTCTCCCTTCCCTGCAACGTGGCTGCAGCTCACTCCTCGCCCTCCATGGCTTTGTCTCCCACCCTTGCCCTTGGCTGGGGTCAGGCCAGGGCTCTTGACCCCTGTGCCCCTCAGCCTGAAGTTTTGGTCTGCATCAGGGCTCTCACCCCTTTATTTTTACTATTCTTATTATTTTTGGTACTGGGGATCAATCTCAAGTCCTCGCGCTTGCACAGCAGGCAGTGAAACCACTGAGCTAAATCCCCAGCCCTCTCACCCCTTTATTTGCTACATTTCTTCCCTTCGATTTTTTCCCCTAGTACTGGGGATTGAATACAGGACCTTCACACCAAGCTATATCTTAGCCCTTTTAATTGTGTATTTTAAGACAGGGTTTTGCTAAGTTTCCCAGGCTGGGCTTAAGCTTGCCATCCTCCTGCCTCAGCCTCCTGAGGAGTGGGATTATAGGCATGCACCACCACACCTGGCTTCTTCCTTTAGTTTTTCACACAGGTTCCTGTATTTTTGGTACCAGGGATCAAACTCGGGTCCTTGCGCTTTCGAGGCAGGTGGCAGAACCACTGAGCTAAATCCCTGGGCCTCATAAGGGTTGCTTTTGAAAGAGTTGGGCACTTAGCAGCTGGGGTGGATACAAAGGGGTTCAATGAGAATGTCAGGACCAGGCACCGAGGCAGCATAGTTATGCCAGTGCTGGAACCAGGAGCCAGCGACGACAGAGGGACAAGGAGGGAAAGGTGCACCCCGGCCACCTTCTTTACCGGGCGCCCCTGCTCCTGCCCGATGCTCACCCGCCCCAGTCACCCCGCAGCCAGGGCCTGACGAGTAGGGTGGCCCGGAGCCACAGAGCCTGCTGCGATGACCGACCAGCCCCTCCCAGGCCTGCCTGCCCGAGAAGCCACAGCTCGGGGCCTTGCCACACTGTCTTGCTTCCCTCTGCCTCTGGGCCACACTGTGCTTCCCCCGGGGCCCCAGCGGCACCGTGTGCCCTGCCATGGGGACACGAAGGATCTCTCCCAGCCACATCTCCTGCTCTCTGTTCATCCACCGTCATTTAACCCCCCCGGGAAGCCTTCTCAAAGTCACTCCATGGTGTCCAAGCCTCCCCGGGGCCACAGCGAGCCAGGACGCCAGGTGCAGAGTCGCCAGGACTCCTGGTGGCTGCTTACAGCCGGGTGGGGTGGGGCTGAGGCTGCAGGGACACCACTAGGATGAAGCCCAGGGATGACCTTCGCCCGGGCTTTCCATGTCCCGGGCACTCCACAGGGACGTTGGAGAAGCCACTGGGGTCAGCTCTATTGCCTCCCGGGGGCCGATCTTGCATCCTAATGTTCATACCTGGGGCCATGCGTTGGTAAACATTACCTAAGGGGGTATCACTCTACCTCGAAGATGAATGATCTGAAAAAAATTTAAAAAGAACAAGTTTTCTGCTTTCTACCTTGATACTTTAGGAGATATGTTAAAACAAACAAGCAAACAAATAGCCTCAAGCCTTCCGGTGTTACTGGGTCTGAGGTTTCTGCAGAGGGCTGAGGGACAGGCAAGGTAGGGCCAGGCTCCGCCTCCCTGGGCGTGGCCATCGTCTCCCCACGGAGAAGCTCCACACCCCGTGCCAGTGTGTGTCGGGTGGGGGGAATGGCGGGGCAGAAGCAACGTGAACACGGGTCACACAGCCCCTGAACTTGGGACTTCAACCCTGCGGCTGTCACCAGGGCTAGAGGAATGGGTGCTCTGGGCAGGATGGATGGAGCAGCTGCTCCAGACAGTCCAGGTGGTGTGGGAAGGACTCAGGGATAGGTGGAAGGCCAGGACGGGTGGGGCCGGAGCTGAGGCTGCAGCCTCGACCTCCCTGCTCTGCCCCGCCACGCACCCAGCCCATCTGCAGATAGGGCCAAGACCGGAGGGGCCCCCGGCACCACCAGCCTCCTGCTCTGTCTTCAGCACCGTCACTACCCCAGATATTCAGGACACACTGCCAGGGCCTCTTCTGGGTGGACACCTGTCCTCGTGTATGTCTTTTTTTGGGGTACTGGGGGTCGAACTCGGGACCTTGCGCTTGCGAGGAAGGTGGTGGAACCACTGAGCTAAATCCCCGACCCCAATTTTTTTTTTTTTGAGACAGCATCTCACTATGTCGTTGGGGCTGACCTTGAACTCACATGTAGCCCACACTAGCCTTGGACTCATGGCAATCCTCCCGCCTCAGCCTCCCTGAGTGCTGGGATCACAGGCGTGCTCCACCACACCCGGCCTTGTCATTTTTTATTGTCTCCTTACCCAGGTTCTTCACTGCCACTTGGAAGATTGTCGAGGTCCCATTGGCCTGTACTATTCCAGGGTGCTCATCCCTCTTTTACTTAGTCCTCTTCTGGGACTCAGCGTCCTTCCAGCCTGTTTCCTTATAATCCCATCACGGCACCCACCTGGCACAGCTACACTCGGCCACATCTAGGCTTGAGTTCTTAAAGAAGCACTCGCTTGGCCACTACACTGTCCCCACTCCACGGATGAGTCCCTTCTAATGACTCACATCTGAATTCACTCACATTTTAATTAATCATTCCTTGGATCATTTTGGATATGAAAGAAGGTGAACAGCAGTGATTTGAGTCATATGTACTTCGTATTTAAGTTAGATTTGAAGCACAGCATAGAAAAGACCTTAAAGGGTACATACTATGATCACAGAATGGAACACTCTTAATAAAGGGTATCAGTAGCTGGGCATGGTGACACACACCTACACACCTGCAATCCCAGCTCCTTGAGAGGCTGAGGCAGGAGGATCGCTGTGAGTTTGAGGCCAGCCTGGGCTACATAGTGAGTTCAAGGCCAGCCTGGACTGCACAGTGAGACCCTGTCTCAAAAAACCAAACAAATATATATAATCAGTTCTCCCCATAGTGATCTATAGAAACAGGAAGATAGATCTTTTGTAATTGGGAAGGGCCCAAGAGATGCAAGGAGAGGGCAGGCAGAGGAAGGGAAAGGAAAGTAAAAAGAAATAAAATGTGTTATGAACATATACCAACCCACAATGAATGTAATCACTGTGTACTGCAAATATGGATTAATAAAATTTTTTAATGATCTACAGAGTCACTCCAATCCCAGTGAAAATCCCAGATAGTTGTGGGGTTGGGAGGAGAGTCTAGTTCACGGAAGGGAGGGATCTATTCCAAAGGACCTGGGTGACAAACTGCAAATAAAATATAAAAACATGTGAAAGTTCTTCATGATGTTTATAGATGTCAATAATTTATCTTATTGTAACTTACACAATAGGTCATATTTGAGTAGTATCATCAGTTAAACTGGAATGTAATTTTGAGAGTGACCCTTTGGAGTTCAACAAAAAAGGATTTGAATATTGAAACAAGATGTGACGAGTTCTTTAAAAGTAAAAAAAAAAAGTGAAAAAAATGTTAAAACTTCCCAAAGTAGAAATTTAAAAGCACCTGAGTTACACACGGGTGTGCAGGAATTCTCTGTCATGTTTTCTCTGTGAATCTAAAAGTATCCACCTCCATAAAAATGCTTAAACTCTAGACCCTGAAGAAATCTGCATGGGAGTCACGGTATTGATTTGGCCACAGAAGCAGACACATGGGTCCCATGGGGCTGACAGCACCAGATGGAAGGGCGCCGGGGACATCGAAGTTAACACCGCCTTTCAGTGAGATGACAGCCTGCTGAGTCACAGACGGTGCAGACAGGAGCATGGAGCCGGAGTCGCACCTACAGAATGGTGTGGGACTCACTGTTTCGCTTGTGTTCGTTCCGGATTAACAGAGACTGACCATCCAGGGCTCCTGTGTACACACTTGGAACAACACCCAGGTGCAGTGATGAATTCGTGCTGGATTCCTTCTTTGACTTTCCTGGTTTGCCCTGGACAACCTTGCCACTGACATTTGCACAGGTTACAAACCCAGCCATGGGTGAAGCCACTGGTAACACAGGCGGATGGCAGTGGACGGGCAGAGCTTCATTTACACATTTCCTTGAGGCAGCAGGAGGGCCTGACTGGAGGATGCCCCTGCAGCCCACCTTTCTAATGTCCAGTGCCACAAGCTCAGACAGACAGATAAAGCACTTCTGCCCTGCTACAGTGCCATGTTGGGGTGAACCAACCCCTTTAAGGAACACCAGTTCTACTTGTAAGAAAGACTGAAACTGAGCTGGGCCTGGTGCTACATGCCTGTGATCCCAGCACTCAGGAGGCTGAGGCAGGAGGATCACCCTGTGTTCAAGGCCAGCCTGGGCTACAGATCGAGACCTTGTTTAAAAAAAAAAAAAAGATTGACAAACTCTGGCTATATACTCAGACCCAGGCGTGTGACACAGTTTCTCAAAAATGAATGAGTGAGCTTATCGTGTCAAGGAAGCAACTGATAGTATTTGTGAGCAATACTAACATGTAAACCTTCAAGAGAAATCAGGAATTCTGAAGTCTCCTAATTCCCATTGTTAACCTGATAACTTCCCAATACCTAAGGACTTTCCTGATGAGACTGGTGGTGATATCAACAAATGCAATTATTCTGGATGGTTGTAATGAAGTGTATCAACATCTGGAAGAACTGCACAATTTGGTAAACTGATATTTTCCAAATGTCTGTTTCATAGTAATACAAGCTCAAGCCTGAATAAAAGTGCTATTGACGGTGTAAGAGAGATGGGTTGCCAGCAGCAATTATGAAATCAGAACTTCCTAAGCTCTCCTCCAAAGAGCCACGAGAACCCTAGCAAACACTGTCAAAGATCAACTTTCTTCACTTTCAAGTTTCTCTGGAAACTAACTAAGGCTGGCAACAATCTGAGGGGCTTATTTTGTTTCATTTTTCAGTGGTACTAAGGACTGAACCTAGGGCCTTTGCACTGAGCTACATCCCTGCCCCTTTCACGATTTCTTCTGAGACAAGAGTCTCTCTTAATTCCCTGGTCTGGGCATGAATTTGCAGTCCTCCTGCCTCAGCCTCCCAGAGTGCTGAGATTACAGGCTTGCGCCACCACACCTGCCTTGAGAAGTGTTTATTCACCACACCCAGCCTCGGGAATGTTTATTCAGTGGCTGCTTGTCCGTAACTACAGGAAATATCATATTTAAACCTGTCCTCTTCCTGTCCACCCCTCCACCCACTAGCTTGCAGCCGTGAAAATCAACAGGTTTTGAGCCTCCTGGAAACACTGCTCCTAATCCCTGTGACCTTTCTGATGATTTCCTAGAGCCACTGTGGTGGCTTCACAAGGTTCATCTTTATTTTACCTGAGAACTTGCTCAGTGACTGACACCCCTCTCCTCAGGGCTCTGTAAAAAACTTTCTGAAATAACCCAGCGGTCAAAGAGAAGACCACGAAGAGAATTAGAAAATACTGTGCAACACATGGAAATGAAAGCAAGTGCTACCAAAACTCAGGGATGCGACCGAAGCACTGGTCAGAGGGAAAGACAGCGACAAACGTCCACATCAAAGGGGAAAGATCCCAAACCAACAACCTGCCTTTGCACCCCAGTGAACCAGGAAGAGGAGCATGTCAAATCTGAAACTAGTGGAAGGAAGGAAATAACAAAGAGTAGAGACAGATAAAATAGAGATTTTAAAAAGGTAATAAGCCGGGTATGGTGGTGCACACTTGTAGCACTAGCACTCTGGGAAGCCGAGGCAGAGGCCTAGTGAGACTGCCTCAAAATAACAAATGGGCCCGGGATTTAGCTCAGTGGTTCCGCCGCCTGACTGTACGGGCAACGTCCTGAGTTCGATCCCTGGTACCAGGAAAAAAAGAAAAGAAGAAAAGAATTACCAAAATAACAAACAAAAAAAGGGCTAGAGATGTAGCTCAGTGCAAAGGCCTGGTTCACCTTCAGTATCGCAAAACCAAACCAAACAAAAGAAAAAATAAGCAATAGGGAAAAATCAGCAAAATTAAAAATGGGTTCTGTGACAATGAGACCAACTACTCCTTCCCTTTTCTCCCTACTGAAGGCCTCGGCGGGCCTGCTCTGATTGGCAGCTACAGGCAGCAGTCCAGGGTCCGGTATCCAGAAACATCTGCCCTAACCGCAGCAGGCTGGATTTTGTACCAAACTGAAGGCTTGAATTTGGAACAATTTGGACCAATCAGCATCCTCGGATTTGGGCCAATCTCAGCCCACTCTGGCCCTGCAGCTTTCCCTCCCACTGCTGGGTCTTGCCCAGGTGGTCCTGAAAATGTGCTTGTGTGGCAGATTGGGTGGCGTGGGCTCGGAATGTCCTGTAAATCTACACAGATTCTTATCGCCAGTAGTGTGGGCAGAGCAGGTTGCTTTCATGGCTGGGCATGGTGGCGCACACCTGTAATCCTAGTACTCAGGGAAGCTGAGGCAGGACAGTCCCAAATTCAAGCCTACCCAGCCC